TTATAACAAACTTGCAACTAAAAATATAACTTTAAATAAAAAAAGAAAACATAAGTACAACTCCAAGTTTGTTGAATATAGAAAAACCTTTACAACCAAAAGAGCTTTTTAACAAGGCAATAACATCAAAAAACATAATTAATTTATAGATCCTCAGCTTGGTTATAAAAAAATATAATACTATTCACAAACTAAACTATCAGATTGAAAACATTTGTGTTTAATATAATATTTCCAATATACCCTGAAGAACCTTAAAAAAATATTCAAGATGTGATAGAAAGATTAAAATTTATATATCAGATGTTGAAAGACAAAAAGACAAGAGACACAATTAAAGCAACTTTAAAACAAAGGTGTGAAGATCTATAATACAATAAAAGAAGAATGGTTAAATTCCTGACAAATTGGGTTAGAAGCAAGATCATATTTAATAGAATCAAAATCAAGAAAAATAATACCAAATATATTATAACACAAAAAAGTAAAATTGAAAAAAAGATTAGAAAATATTATACAGAGGTATTCAAAAAATAAAATTTTAGTTATGACAGTCTATCAAAGGATTGGAAGGATAAGTACAAGTCCAAAGAATTTATATAAGAAGCTTGGTATAAAGAATTACTTGAATCAATTTTTCAAGAAGAATTAAGTAAAACATTATATACACTTTCAATTAATAAAGCTCCAGGTAGATCACAAATTAGCTATAAAATACTTAAGAAATTAAGTCAGAAAAGAAAGAAATTCTTGAAAAGAATACTTAACAACTTTCTGAAATAAAAAGTTATTTCAATTTATTGGAAATAAAGTTATATATATTTAATAACTAAACCAAATTCATGGGATTGTAAACTCTCAAATATAAGACCTATTGTTTTATTAGAGATCACAAGAAAATATTTTATTAAAATCCTTACCAATCGGATAGAAAAAATTTATAAAGTTCACAATATTCTCAGGGAGCCCAATTACATAGGATTATCAGAAAAAAGTATAGTAAAATTAATTCAAATTCTTAATAATATTTGTAAAGAAGTTAAAGAAAACGAAAAAGAACTGTGGATATCTTTTCAGAATATGGTCAAAGCCTATGACACTATCAGCTTAAAAATGTTAGTTAAAGCAATAGAATAAATTAAAGTTTCAAAAGGCTTTATTAAGATTATGATGCATCTATTCCAAAATAGAAAATTTTAAATTATATTTGAGAATAATCTTATAAAATTTATAGTAGAAAGAGATGGAATTAATCAAGAAGAAACCATCTCACTCTTATACTGACAAATTTTTTATGATCCCCTATTTTGCAAAATTTAAAATAATACTCAAAAGGGATACAAAATATTAGTTATTTAGAATTCTGATCTAAAAGATTATAACTTTAGAAGTTAGAATCAAGGCATGTGACCATAGCCTTTATAGATAATATGATATGAATAGCAAGATCCAATAAAGATCTTGAAAACTGCATGAGTTTTTTACAAGATCAATAATTTCCAAATCAATAATAACAAGTTGATACTTGTAACTATCAACAATTTTAATTGCTATCCAGAAAAAGTGTTTGAGGTACTAAAGAGGAAATAGTCAAAGAACTTGATAGAATAGAACAAGCAAGATTTCTGGAAATCTGAACTGGCAATCAAATGACTGCAAAAAATGTGTGTTAAAAAAGTTAATATAGTTACTAGAGCCTTAAAAAGCAAAAGAATGACTAATAAACAGGTCATCTATATTCTAAATAAGATATTTATACTTAGAATAGAATTTAGAATACAATACAACATATTGTTTTGAAAAATATGTAATATATTGATAGTGGTATATAGAAAACTTTTTATGAATAAAAGTATGTTATGCAGATCTATACTGAATAGTGTAATTTATTATTCAAAGATTCTCAACTTGAAAAGTATCTAGATGCTGCAATGAGAAAGTTAAATAATGAGTTCATGTAATAGGTTAAATGATATAGGATCAGTTGGGATTATAACAATTATTAGATTCAGCAAGTACAAATCAAAAATTGGGAGCCACTTAATTTACTAACTTGCAAGTTACTAAGCCACCTATTGGACAAAGACAACTTCTTGCTTCAGATAACTTAATTGACAAAAGATATAGGAATAATCTTTTATAGTTAGAAATGACAAGAAATATTTGAATGGAATAAAGAAAATAGTTTGATTCAAAAATACTTTACACCAGAAAAATACAAAAAGGCCATACCATCTTTAAGAAATAATAAATTGATATATTTAAATCAACTATTAGATCAGAAAAGTATGGAAATAAGGAATTAATGAATGCTTCAACCAATACAGAACATAAGCAAAGGGCATATTTTAGAGTGATATTAGATTATAATCAAAAACCTTTCAGATGGACAAGTACAGTAGTTTACAATAACCTGAAAAGAAAACTGTATAAAATGGAAACTGAAATATCCCAAAATAAGACCTAATTAAGACAAGTGATATAAACTGTAGATAGTATAGAGCAACAAGAATAATTAGTTAATTTGGGTAAAATTAAAACAAGTAAGAAAGAAATATAATGCAATAGTAAAATACTTTATCTGTTATAGTACTAATTATGATCAGGAAACAAGATTACAAAAATGTCCTGAATGCTCAAAAAGAACAATATAAAATAATAGCTGTATTATAAAAAGAGATAAAGAAAGAATTTATATAATATCTTATCTCAATAAAAAAATATCTACTAGAAAGATAGGAGAATTGAAAATCCCTAATCTCAAAGTAATACTCAAGAATATAATTATGTATAAATAGTTAGGTTTATATCAATAAATGGAAGAAGATGGAAAAGGAGGATAAAAAAAAAAAACATATAAGAGATGTTTAAAAGAAAAAAATTGATCTCTATAAATATAAATGGTGGAGCTAACAAAAAAAAAACAGTAAACCTGAAGCTTATTAAAGTCAAAACATATTCCAATAATCTTTATAATAAAGAAACAAATACCTTAGCCAAAAATTCCTACCAATTGAATGGAGAGATACTAACTTTTAAATAATTATTATAGAGATCAGGTGACAAAACATGATCTTAGATAATTCGATTAGACAGTTTATCAAAAATATAAATAACAAAACAATAACCTATCAGTAAACCTAGCAAAATCGAATGGAGAAAAAATGAAGTTATCAGATTTTAAAACAGCAAGATCACATATAAAATCTAGTGTGAAAAAGAATAAAAGATGGTCATATACGGAATACATTTTTTAAAAAATCTTACCAAAAATTTTTTTTCATTAAACTGATCAATAATAAGCTACTAATATTATATAAATTGACTACAAGAAGATTCAATCTATATAAGCAAGTGAAATATATTACATATAGCTAATAGAATAAAACAATAGAACACTTGCTAGAACGTTCAACCTATAAAAATCAACTTCAAGAAGTATAGAATAAAGAAGTAGATAGAACTCTCAGAAGCTTTAAACAGTTTTTATAAGAAAGAAGAAAGAAGATTAAGAAAAAAAATAATAAATAAAATATCAATAATTAGAAAGAATTAGAAAAGTTTGACAAATGGATTTCTAGATTAGTAAAATAAATCTCTATAATTAGTCAAAATACTCTAAGTTTTTGTGATAATCTTATAAGAAAGGTCCTTATTCTAGAAATGGCAGATCTAAAATGTTATAGTAAATATATAGAAAAAAAAATCAAAAAATAAATAATAAAGATATAAAAAAAAATTTGAAATCAAATTCAAAAAAGAATTTGAAATATAAAATATAAAAGAATTATTGAATGGAAACAAACTCAAGAGAACATTAGAAAAGATAATATAAGAAGATTTCTAATCTTTTTAAGTCAGAAAATTATATTATTAATAAGAAAAGAATCACTACTGAAAGAAGAAAAACTAGAAGATAGAAACCTCAAGAAGATTCTAATAAAAGAAGTGGAGTATGAAATGAAGTGGTTGGGATTCTAAGCCCGGTCAAAACATCAAAGAGTGATTTACAGTAGTGACCTGCAGGCAATGAAGTTAGCAGTTGGAAGAGTTTATATCTAAACTATTAATGAAGTGATAAATTACTTCCAAAGTTGCACTTAGAGTTTTAAAAAATTTAAAATAGAGACAATTGAGTTAGGTAGAGATTTAGCTTTAGCAAAACATTTAATAATGTAAAGTATACAAATGTTTAATAAAGCACACATACCTAGCTTGACTTAGGGCAAAAAAAAAAAAAAAAAAGTGAATTAATACTATATAATATATAGTAGCCGATAAGGTTTACATTTTGATCATTTCGATTAATATCAAACAGGTTTCTCGTAATGCAATGGTTTTTATAGTAAGGATCTGCTATTACATTCAGTGGAGAAACGTAACAATTACATGTCGAAACAATTTAAATTTAACGCTATTTGATAGCCAACCATCCAGTCTTTAATTTGCAGTACATCCGTATTTTATGATTTTTCATAAAGATTAACGTTCCAATATATTCTCAGCACGGAAAATTCATATAGTGACTGAGTGACACCTTCCTTGATCATTGAAAAAATTAGTTTGAATGTATAATAATATCCCACAGATCGAATATGTCCCGACTTCATCATTACAACCCCAAGTAAGGGCTTCAGGGGGAGAGGGGGGTAAACCTAATATACCTAACGGTAAGAATAAGTTTTTGATCTTTGTCTTTAAATTTTTATGTATGCTAAATGTGACGATTGTTTTAGTTCGTATTTCGTTTATTACTGTGGGAGATCAAACTAAATTTGAGAAGCTTTACATTCAAGGCGTAGCAGGAGGGAAATACTTGACTGGTAAATTTTCTTTTTATGATGTTTAAAAGCTCCATTGAATTGACAATAGTATCGTTTTTTCATTATTAAGGCGAAGGCGCACGTAGTATCTTAACGCGTTCACAATTGCCCAGTGATGCATTAGCTAAAATATGGTTTGCTAAAGTTATTTATTCACATATTTAGTCACAATTTGATATGAATCTCACACCTTCTATTCATAGGACGCTATCTAATCTAACATCAAGCGGATATCTTACTTTTCCGGAGTTCGCCCTTGCCATGTACCTAACCAATCTGAAACTTAAGGGTCAAGAACTGCCGGCTGCCGTCCCGGATAGCATACGCAATGAAGTATTAGGCATTATAGACCAAATAAAAGCTATCGAACAGAAGCAACAACAACAACAGCTTGCGTCTCAGGCACAGAAGAATATCTTGCCTCAGCCACAAATGGTTCAACAATATGGTGGAATGTCAGTAGTTCCTAATGTTGGACAATATGCTGTTACTCCGTCTGTTGTTACTTCTGTTGGAGCTCCTATAGTACAAGATATGACGCCATTTGCACAGAGGATGATGCCCCAACAGAACCCCCCTCAACAGTACAGTACAGCTGGATTACAAGGAAATGCGAAAATTTCGTGGGTTGTAACACCAGAAGAAAAAATTCAGTATCGAACGATATTTAGACAGTGGGATTCAACGGGGTTGGGATATTTAGATGGTAAGCTTTATTTTGAATTGTAATATGTAATTATTTCTTTTCTCGTTTTAATATTTGATTCCTTTAGGTAAAAAGGCAAGGGAAATATTATCACAATCAGGTTTGCCGGAAAGCGACTTGATGCAGATTTGGTGAGAAGGCTTATTCAAAAAATTCATATTATTAAATTTTAGTTATTTAAACTGAACGTGTATAAAACATTTAACTCAGGAATTTATCTGATCCCAATAACAATGGTAAACTAAATCAAGACGAATTCGCTGTGGCCATGCATTTGATTTACAGAAGACTGAATGGTTACGATATTCCCGCAACACTTCCGCCTGAACTTATCCCCCCTTCTACGAGAGATTTGGCCGAAAGTGTTAATCAGCTTAAGAATCTCTTGACCTCGGAAGTGCATGCTTCACAAGCAGGATTAGGTTCAACAAGTGGTTCCCAATATGTGAAATCGAGAAGTTTTACTAGTACTCCTGTGGTTGATAGAAATGATGCTGTGGTGTACAAACATAAGGATGATGAGGTTGGTTACGTATCGGCTGCAAGAAGACGAGTTCCTCCAGTTTCTCGTAGTGCGTCCAGTTCATTTTCTTCTACACCCAGGTCAACATTTTCTGAATCAATCGGTGAAGACTCATCAAACAAATTATCGGAGTTGCGAAAACAAATTCACGAAAAAACAAATATTATTGGATGCATTGTCCTATTCGTCTGATTCGACTTCATATGGTTACTCTTCTCGTTCGAGGGCGCTATCGGACACTGGTGACTTAAAATATAAGATTAAAGAACTGCAAAGAAAAATCGAGGCAGCGCGAGACTCTAATCCGGAATGGCTTTCTAGGGAGTACAATAGGAATTCTGATGATTTGAATTCTTTGTTAGAACAGCATCGAGATTTGGATTATGATCTCAACAAAATGCTTTCAAATGCTATCCCGGACATAGTTTATCGAGCTCGTAAGATATCTAGTAAAGTTTCAGATTCAAAGTTGGAACTTTTTAAAATCAGAGATGAACGAACGTCGTGGAGATCCTATGGTTATGGCGGTAGCGGATATGATCCGTCTGCATCAAGACGTATAGAAGAGGAGACCGCAAGAATTAAGGATGAAAAGGCTTCACAGGATCGACTGATTGAAGATATTGAAAGGAAGGCGTCAAAGTTGCGTGATTATATGGTTCAGGTTTCAAGGGATCGTGAAGAAATTGAAGAAAAACTACGACAATTTAATCGAAGCAAGGATGCCCAGGATAGTGAAACAAAAAAATGGGAGGATGGAATTGGTGTTAGTGAGGAGGTTCGTCTGTTCATAGAGGATCTCAAGCGTGATGAGCGTAGGACTTCATCTCGTTCGGAATATAGTGAAACACGTTTTTCGTCGTCAACCGGTGATGATACCTATAAACGTCCGACTTCAACAAATTCAGTTTACATTTCTAGTAGCTCGTCGCCGAGTTCATCTAAAGCGAAAACCCCCGAGGAACGTGAAGCATTCATCAAGGCCGAGGCTAAGCGCATGCTGCAAGAGCGTCTAGAAAAAATCGGCGTTGAGCCGTCGTCAAATTCTGGAAGATCTTCTCCATCAATTTCCGATTCTCCTTCCCTCAGTGATCGCCTCGCGCGTGAGAAAGCTGAAGCAGCAGAAAGACTTGCTCAAGCCGAGCGCGAGGCAGAGAAGCGCGAGCGCGCGCGTGCCCAGAAGTTACTGGCCGAGAAGCAAGAAAAGGCGGAGAAAGAAGCCGAAAGGTTAAGGAAGATGGAAGAATTTGAGCGGAGGGAGGAAGAAAGGAGAAATCAATTTCTTTCGGAAGCTAGAGAGATGGAGCGTACAAAAATTAAGAAAGCTCAAGATAAGGAGGAAGCTGCACGTGCGATGGAATTAGAATTGGAGAGGAGACGACTTGCGGAAGTTGAAAGAGAAAAGCGTCAGCAAGAAGAACGTCTAGCCCGTATTAAGAGGGAAGCCGAAGAGCGCAAAGCTGAGGAAGAACGTCGAAGGCTTGAGCAAGAAGCCCTCATAGAAAATTCAAGGGCGGCTAGGGAAAGAGCAAAGCAGAGAGAAGAGGAGGCCAAGAAACTGGAAGAAATTAAGAGAAGGGACACTGAAATACTAGCAAAGTCCAAGAAAGAAGAAACAAATTTACAATCAAAGGTCCCTGAAGATTCAGAGATTTCATCTTCGCCCGTCGAGCCCATCAGCAACAATCCATTTTTAAAATTCGGCAAAACCTCTCAGGATCAATCTAGCGAGAATGTTGACACCAAACCTTTAGAAAGTACGAATCCCTTTTATAAATTTACGACCGGAACGAGCACGGGTCATGCCACTATTTCCCGGGAAGCTCAAGAAGATAATGAATGGAGTGTAATTGATCGGGACGGGGATAGCAGTGATGATGATGTCAATATTCCTGTTGGAAATGCTAAAAATCTTGCTGCTAAGTTATTCGGTTCTATTGGATTTCCACAAATGAGCCAACCTACCGAACTGTCAAACTCCGAATCAAAGAGAGATATTTCATCACCTCCGGAAATTTCGTCTAATAACACAAGTGCGCCACCGGTTCCTATACCACCCGTTGCACCACCGCCACCGCCGCCACCATCCCAACCCATCACATCCGAAATCCCGTCTTCCTTGGAATCACATCCACCGCCCTCAAATTCGAGAAATGCTCTGCTAAACCAAATTCAACAAGGAAAGAGGCTGAAGCCTACTCGGTCAAATGACCGATCGACACCGCAGTTTAGTGGTGGGTGATAAAGATTGATTGTAAATTTTCATTTTTATTTTCTGTTCTTATTCTTTTCATTATTTCAGGCAAGGTGATCAACTCCACCAGTTCTTCCACGGATGTTCCAAATGTCGGTCATCCTAGTGGCATAGGTGAGATATTATCCGGATCAGTTCCGAATAATAAGAGTGGCGGCGGAATTGAGATGAGTCGTTCGGTAGACGAAGAGCGTCCGGCTGTGGCAGTTCCTCGACAAAGATCTTTTCCCAAGCCTGATCGCAGAACTTCGACTGATTGGTTTGGAAGTTTAGCATCGGATCAACTCGCAGGGGAACTAAAAGTCTCAGCACCACCACAGGTGTTCAATTCTCAGACAACGATTAAGGATGAAAATGGGTTACCGCAGGCGGCACTTGTCAAACAGGCCGAGTCGTCAACCACTGTCACATCGGCCGAAGATGATGTCGACTTTTCTCAGGAATTCCGCGTGAAAAGTATGTTTCCTTATTTTGGCAACGGTGACCCGGATAGTCTTCAGTTTGAGTCGGGTGCCGTTTTCAGAGCGCATCCTTCCAAGAACGAATCCAACGCAGCTTGGTGGTATGGTGTGATCGAACAAACCGGAGCAAAGGGATGGTTCCCAAAAACATACGTGGAACCGTATAGCGAAGGTATAATTGTGATTCTTTGAAAGGTCGCTCGCTTCTTCTAAAGCTTTAACTCTCATCGACTTTAATCTTCAGAAACGGAAATTTGTAAAGCACGAGTCCTCTATGAATGGAAAGCGCAAAACTCGGAGGAACTTGACATTAAACCAGGAATTGTTGTGTCTATTCTTGACAAATCATTAGGGAGTTGGTGGAAAGCAGAGTATGAAGGCGCTAAAGGAATTATTCCAGCAAATTATGTCGAAGAAATTTCTAGTAGTAGCGGTTAGTGTTTGCCTTTATTGTTTGTTGATGTACATGTTTTTTTTTTTTTTTACAGTTAAAATGTATGTGTGATGATTTTTTAAGTACAATCATCCCTCATCTCGCATACCTTTTCTACTTCCAATTTCATCCAAAAAAAATTTAAGAATAATTATAGAAACATAAAATCGGAACCATATAATCAAATAAAATTCAATGTAATATCGTGTATATTATCTATTTGTTGAGTTTGAAAAAATAATGAAAAAATTTTCTTTTACGTCATCTTCATTCTTCTTATGCCCTGCATTTCGGTTGCTACAAAGTCCATGACAAAACAGATGAAGCTGTGACAAGTGAAGTTGAAAAGACAGATGATGCAACGGAAGGTGTGACAGATGAAGGTGTTACAAGTGAAGATGACACAAGCGAAGATGATACAAGTGAAGATGATACAACCAGTGAAGATGAAACTAATGAAAGTGATGGCGAATGTGATCAAAAGAGTGTGACATCTAACCCCAAAGAAAATGAGATGCCATTTAATTCAGTACCCATAGAAATACCGCGATTTAATATTCTATCTGAGCGATCGCCGGACCATAAAAAGTCGTCGGCGTCATTTGAAATTAGTACAGAATCACAAATGCCATTAGAATTGGCTAGGAGTCCCAGCCCGACGCGATTGTTTGGTTCCAGTCCAATAACTCCGGTATTCTGGATGCACGGTGGTACAGATTCCAAGATTAGCCCAAGTGCACTAGCAGCTGTTAAACCCGATGGATCAGGACAAGTACGTTCAGATTGTTGTGCTTTATAAAATTCCGCGTGCCTAACATCACATTCTTGCGCAAAGGGACCGTCGGCGTCATCGTGGGCCGATTTAAAAATCGGGGAAGATTTAACGAAAGAAGAGCGCAGACGACAGGAAGCTATTTATGAATTGATATTCACGGAGCAAACGTATCTTCGCGATCTCCAAATGATAGTCGAGGTGTTTTATGGTCCAATGCAAGATTTACTCCCCAAGAACGAATTGGAAATGATATTCTCCAACATTGAGGACATATTATTACACAACACCGCCATCCTGAGTGACCTAGAACAACGTCAGAAGGAAGAGGATTATATAGTCAAGAGTGTGGGGGATGTTCTGGTGAAACACTCGGCTGGCCTGAGGTTATATGTAAAGTATTGTGGGAACCAAATGAATGCGAGTAAATTCATACAAAAAAAACGCGAAGAAGATAAAAGGATCGAAGAATTTCTCAAGGTAAATTCGATTGACAAAAATTTTGTTGTCTTGACAAAGGGAACAACACAATAAATCGAATGAAACCTGATGTAATACAGAGATGCCAACAAAACCCAAAGTGCGGCTCGCTGGATCTGTGTAGTTTTCTGCTAAAACCATTGCAACGAATCACCAGATACCCATTGTTGATACGTCAGGTAATAAATAAAATTTGAACATTTTTCTCTTTATGCAACGAGGTGTACTTTCCTCATCCACACACGCCCTCATCGTTAGATACTGCACTACACCGGAAAGGATAACGAGGATCACAGGTTGATGATGGAGGCCCTTCACAAGGCCGAGAAGGTACTGGAGGAAACAAATGAGGCGGCGAGGGAACAAGAGAATAAGAATAAATTGTCGGAAATAGCAAATTTGATAGATTTAGAGCGTTTGGAAGAGGTTTGTTCATTTAAGTTCATCATTCGTATCGCGCCGACGTCGAAACCTAAATTCTCAAACGCATCGTCGATCGGTCAACAATAAAGAAACTTGACCTTACGAGCACGACCCGTTTGGTTGGGAAGCGTCAGTTCATTTTCGAAGGACCGCTTAAGAAGACGAAGAGCGGACGTAACCTACACGGATATGTTTTTAATGACATATTGATACTCTGCCAACAAAATAAGAAATCGGCTTCCAAGGGTTACCGCTATTCATTGTACAAACCGGTAAATTCATTTGGGTCGGGAGGTTACTTGATTCGAAAGTGATTGTGCTCACATTTGTCGTGATTCTTTAGCCGATACCTCTAAATGAGATCTTTGTAAAAGATGTTGGTCCGGGTAAATGAATGTTGTTTGTCAAATTTGAAATCGACGTCTTGTGGTCATTGACCGCTCACACAATTTTTCACAGATGACACATGCTTTCAGGTAATTCACATAGCGGACACTATAAATCTGCGTGCAGCCAACGCTTCCATGAAGAGACAATGGGTGAATCAACTTGAAACAGCTAGCGGCTATTGCCTCACGAAGGAGCGTCAGGCACAGAGAGGAGGTACCACCCGTACTAACGATGTTCTCGTGTGATCGTTTGTGTCGGAGGGACGAGTTCTGAAAAATTGTCATTGTGTTGTTGTTTAGAAAGCACGTCTGCGCCAGCGGATCACATTAGCGGCACGCTCAGGGTTTTGGTGTATGAGGGCATACTTCCGGAAGAGTTGCATGGTGGTGTAAACAAAAAATTTTTCGCCTGCGTCGTCGCTTCTTTTTGCAAAATCCGAAAATTTTAATATTCCGCACTGCATTGCATTGCACACAGAGTCCGATAAGTTGAACAATATTCACGCGTACTGTCAGGTGCAGTTAAACCGACAAATATTCAAGACAAAGATAGTGAAGGGCACGATATCGCCACATTGGAATCAGGTAATCGAAATTGGCACTTTCGGTTCACAAATATCATTCACTTTTTCTCGACGACGTCCATTGATCCACTTTTCGTCAATCGGATTCTTAGTACCTGATGTTCTCCGTTACGACCTTGGAGGATGTGATAAAGGTATCGGTGCTTAATTACGACAAATACACGCAAGACGAGTATTTAGGTCAGGCGGAAATTGGATTACGCTTTCTCAAACATTACGGTGACAACGAGACGGAAAAAATTACTTTAGGATTAAAGCCCAGTGGTGGTTCCATATCCATATATTTAAGCTATAAAGCAACTTTTTAGTTTTTAATTTATTCATTTGGAGTGTTCATTGGACACTGCGTGCAAAAGAAAATTTTAGAAATTTTAATTTTTTTTAAATTAAATTACTAATAATGAAACCAATCAATCCCCTTGTTGCCTCATCGCATCATCAATGACAAAAATTTGCAATACCCTTTGCTTGACATTTCACGACCATTGATATTCTCGAGCTTTGTAACGTGTTCTAAGATTTAAATATCAATTTCAACTTTATACACTGAAAATTTTCAACATTGTGGATCTTCCCATCTGATATTAGGGTAATGATAAGTCGCATATATGCAATACACTGTCGATCCTTCTTTGACATTACTCGAATCATCTTTTAATTAAAACTCTAATAATAGCCACAAAAATGATTTTATATCCTTTGCAATAGTTATGGTCATTATTGAAAATGTCATTCTTTAGAGGCACGTCTGTGGAATCCGATCAAGGTCCTAAAATTCTATCGTATCATGTATCACTCCAGCACCGAGGCACCAATTACCGTTCCAAACAACAACATACTAAATTTAGAGAAATGTCAAATAATTATTCGCGACTGCTCGCATCCTCACGATTAGATAACCAATTTTACCTGTCCAGGTGCAATTGCCCACTGCGGTTCTTGAAATTCAACAATATAACTGTCATCGGGTCTGTGTAAATTAACAATTTCCAATCAGTTTACAATAAAGATAAATGAAATAACAATCCCAATGAATACCTCAACTTTACTTTACACTGGACTATCAAATCAATCAATCACAATAAAAGAAAGTTTAGCGACTCCACTTGTACAGATAAGTTTAAAGCAAAAAAGTGTAACATGCCTGGGTGTTGCCGATATCTGATTTGGCCCAACAATTCAACACCTATGTCAAAAGAATTTGACGTGCATGAGATCAAGAATTTTATTTATTGTCCCAATATTCAATAATTCCGCATACTCACCATCTTCAATTCCCTCGGGAGGCTCACTCCAACTCCATATCCAATCCTTGGCGACAAGCCCCCTAGAGAAGAATATGGGATGATCTCTGAAAGGAATTACAAAAAAGTCTACGATGCGCATTTAATTACTTTTCATTCCATTTTTTTTTTTTTTGTCCAACAAGTCAGCCTACTCACGATCCGGGCACGGCGATCAACGCGTTTTCTTTGCTGTCACGCTTGCACACGAACCACCTTGAAGATTGTCAAGTGTGACCGAGAGAAAAAAAAAGCAAACAAACAAGAGTTTGCATGTGGTTTTACCAAAACTTACTTGCATTTGTCATGAATTCTGGCGCGTTGACCGATCGTGTAAGCAAACTGACCGTTATGTTGACCTGCATGTTAAGTAGGCCTATTCGTGATGAGAATAGTTGGGGACAGAATCGAGCGTGAGAAACAAAAAGTTTATGAACTTACCAATAACCACACCATCGAGAGTCTTGACATCGCCAGGTTTGCTTACGAGATATTGTTCCAAAAATTTGGAAAAAGTTTTTTTTTTGCCCACAAAACATATTCCCATGCTCTCTCTTTTGCTTGCAACTACAAGTCTCGCTTTCCGTGCTATTTCTTTGACTTCGGCTTTCGGCAGATGTCCCACCGGGAATATTACCTAAGATTACATCCCGTCAGCGGGAAACGAAACGGAATGATAAGATAACGATGAATATCCATCTTGAACCTACATTTCTCAATTTTTCTTCATGAACTGTTGACAGAAAGTAACTTTGATCTTTGGTAGGGTCGGCGCCTAAAAATCTATATTTTAATAGAAGACTTAATTTAAAAAAAAACAAAAGAAAAAAAAGAAAAATAATGGTATCCGCATATCATACCTCTCAGCAATTTTGTTCTTCCGGAATCGGTTGTTTCACTTTGGACGTAATGTCCTTTTCAAGGTATACCAGGGTACATATTACTCACCATATTTCATAACTACGATGATCGCTTAGAAACAAAATACCTGTCGCAATCCACGTCAAACCCTTATCCCGTTCGGAAATAGAGCTGAAACATCTGTCCAAGAACCATCCAAACTTGATCTTTCGATTGCACGTGATGTCAGGATTTGGAGTTACTCCGCTTTCATAATCTTCGATCATCTTTACGAATACGTGCACCCAGTATTCTTTCGTGAAATCGACCTTCGGTAGATTTCGTCAGAACATTTGGGCTCCCCGTTACTGCAACAAGCAATGTTCATACGTGTCTTACCTGTTTGCATGGTATTCTTAGCTGATCACAGACCATTTGCACGTCTCGCCAATCCTGATCACTGGTGCATTCTCCCTTCTCATCGGCGATATCCCAATTACGCATGTAAACACCTTCGACAGTGAATCCCTAATAATAAAAATAACAAGAATATATATACACACACATTTTATCATTATTATTATTATTATTATTATTGTTGTTGTTGTTGTTACTTTAAAAGAAAGTTTAGAATGCGAAACTTTGCACGCATCAAGAATTCATACCTGCCTTTGTAATAGGTATGCCGAAACGCTAGAGTCTACTCCTCCTGACATGGCTACTATTACTGTGCGTTAATTGATGTATTAATGGGTTTGATAAAAGAAGAAAAAAGAAACAACGACCCCAACAGAAACGCGAATATCGATCACCTTTATCACCGGGTTCGGGCCTTCTATGAAGGCTCAAATACCTCTTAAAAAATTGTGCAAAGGAGCCAGTTCGTTTTAAGGATCTGCGAGAAAGTGGCAAGAGATGAGGGAACATGCTTGAAAAATCTCGAGCACATTGAATGATTCAAATTATTATCATCAACAAATCAGGATAGTCCGATTATGTGGGCACACTGATGTCGATATGATTTGTGTCGTCACTCATCAATCGCACCTTGCTGAAAAATGTCTCGTGTGTCGCCGGCCCTGACAATTGTAATTAAGCTTGGTACTTCTTCAATATGTGATGAAGAAACCAGTTTACCATTACTATCCAATCTTTCACTGATGGTCGAGACGATCGTGAAACTTCGTAATTTAGGTCATAGAGTAATTTTGGTTACCAGTGGAGCTATTGGAGTTGGCCTAAGAAGATTGAACATGAATAAGAAGCCAAAAAAATTGGCCGCGATTCAGGTCATACATATGAGTGGATACGGAGACTATCGACCGGGTTCTTTGCAAAGTTCGAAACAAACATACTGATCTTCTTCTCTTTGCATGAAAGGCCGTAGCAGCAGTTGGTCAAGGAAGATTGATGAGGATGTACGACGATTTATTTAGTCAACTGAATCAACCAATAGCTCAAATACTATTGACCAGGCACGATCTCTCAGATGTAAACTCATATTACAATTTATCTTTAATAATGTGCAATCTCTTCGATCACATTGATCATTTCAACATTCCACGCCAACCTTGATTATCGCACGATAGCGTACCCAATATCTTAACGCGGTTAACACCTTCACTGAATTGTTATCAATGGGTGTGGTCCCGGTGGTCAACGAGAATGACACCGTTTCCGTAAGCGTAAGTACCTTAGTAATTGATCCGGCAAACATTGCCCTCCTTTCATTCATATTTTGGTTCCCATTTGGGCTTTGCGATCATTATAAAAAAAAAAAATTATCATTATTATTGTTGTTATTTTCCTTCGTAAAACATAGGAAATCAAGTTCGGCGACAACGATACTCTTTCGGCCGTAACGGCCGGAATGGTAAACGCCGATTATCTGTTTTTAATGACCGATGTCGATTGCTTGTACACGGATAATCCAAGAACAAATCCTAACGCCAAGCCTGTCGAGATTGTTGAAGATGTCGGTGCGTTGAGAGACCGGGGTCAGTAGTTTAATTTGCGAATTAAGAATAAAGGGGGTTTTTTTTTTATTTCCATTACTCGTTACCAACTCGGACACCCGATCTCGCGTGTGAATTTGATTCGAAAATCACTCCATATCAGTCACAGTTTCGTCACCTGGTAGCACTCTAGGTACTGGAGGCATGTTCACAAAACTGATCGCGGCGGACCTAGCAACTGCCGCGGGAGTCACGACAATCATAAGTCGTGGTTCAAACCCTCAAAATATCCTGTCCATCATCGATTATCTATCATCTGCCTCCAAGGATCTATTGCCGTCCTCACCACCTCTGCACACTCGCTTCTTGGCGAAGGATAATCCGATGGTGGACCGAAAGTGGTGGATATTGCATGGTTTGCACACAGCCGGCACCATTCACATAGATGAGGGAGCCATGCGGGCGATTACAAAAGTTGGCCTGAAAAGCAGTCTATTCGCGGCGGGTATCGTGAAGGTGGAAGGAACCTTTGTCGCACACCAGGCTGTTAACTTGACCATTGAGAGGGTCAGGAAGGACGGTAAAGGAGAGATGGAAACGGTGGTTGTTGGAAAGGGATTGGTGAATTATTCGTCGACGGAAATTTTTAGGATTAAAGGATGTAAAAGTTTTGAGATCGAAGAGAGATTAGGATACGCTGATTCCGAGTGTGTGATCCACAGAGACAATTTGGTAATCACCATAAAGAATGTTGAGGATAGTTGAAAGTGAATGTGACTTAGACACTCATCGTTCATCACGATCTTATACTCGTGAGAAACATCCATACATAGATGCACGTCATAATTTTATTCAAAAAAAAAGAAAAGAAAAGCTCACTCCTATTTAGGGAAGTCAGTCATCACGAATAAATGCTTCGTGTGTTTTAATAAGTAAAAATGCAGTGAAATGTGAGAATGACAAAGAAATAATTCGCATACATGTACAGTATATAAATATATATAAATAAATCTAATTTACAACCGCCATCACTTCAAGTTAATCAGGATTAAATTAATAAAGGTTAACCAAAATCAAAATACCATTCGCCAATCTAATCAATCACTTTGAAGAATATGAATTGAGAGGACCACCATAATTGCTTTGATTGTTTTGGTTAGGATATTTTCCGTATTCATAATTGCCTTGATTGTTTGGGGGATAGGCATTCGGGTTGTTTGAGACGGGTTGAACGTTTTTGGAACCGATGTGTAATTCCTTTGTCATGTTCGCTAACTCATTGACTTTGTCACCCGAATCCTTTGTCGTGAGGTTGGGTTTTGTGGATTTTTGAACGAGAGGTTTCGAATTCCTTTCCTTCTCGGCATATTCCTGAAAAGAGAGAAGACCGGTAAATAATTATTCGATCAGCTCATTTGCCGAATAGACACGCCAAAAAAAATTTATTTTGTTGAAAACATTGTCAAGGCGACAGTTAGTTACCTTCACGATGTTGGACAACTTTTGGAAATTCGGATCCTCGAATTGCACTAGTTCACGTTCCTTCCTCATGCGTGTGGCAACTTCACCGTACGTCGGGCATTTTAGAAATCCCTCTAAACTCTGGTTACAATTCGTGCAAACGAACCCCAATTGTTCCTTCAGCTTGAGATCTTCAAAAATACTATCCGACAGCTCTTTCTTGATAGCCACCTTTGACAATTCTTCCATGTTAGATCTCGGGAATCCACATTTTCCACAAGCGGCAATCTGGTGATGAACGTGTTTGGGCAATTTACACAAATCACAAAATTGTCTTTGGACTAACGTCTTGCGCGCGTTTATCAAGGATTCCATGTGAACAAGCCATTGCTTGCATGATTGACACTCGGCAAAGTCAGTGTTTGGTTGGCCGCATCCGTGACATGTTCCATAAAATTTGCGAAGAAGATCCGTCGGTGATAGAATTGATTGGGGCATGTTGCAGTAAGGATTATTTTGACCATAAGGGGGATGGGGCTGAAATGGGGTAGAGTAGGTGGCCGGAGACATCATCATTGAGGCTCGATGATTATACTGAGTGTTTATGGCTGGCAGTATCGGTGGATTTGGATTCGGATTATTATGGTATGGTTGACCTTGACCGGCATTCGCTACCGGCGGTTGGAACTGCGGTCTCGGAATGCTGAATCCTCCAGCGAATTGACTTTGTCGTTGTTGATACTGGCCAGTTTGCATTTGCACCGGAGGATTTCTGGGGGCTTCACCTTGAACTGGAAGCTGTTGACCCGTCGCATACGTCGACGGTTGTCGATTTGGAGGCGGCGTTGCTGGATGATTTGACATTCCTTTTTTTTTTTTTTTAAAAAAAAAAAAAAAATGTAGAGAACTGCGGTGATATTTTTTGTTTGTTTTTCGAAAGAACTGCGAAAAATTGTTTATCTCAACAGTGGTAAGAATCGCTTACCATGGAGTTCGTGCACTTAAAAAAAAACTTGTGATTTGCTATTTTTGGGTGAGTAGGAAAGAAAAGTGCATCACCACCGTATAAGAAATAAGATAAAGATTGGCAGATATGTTTATTACACAAAGCAAACAAACATCATTTTAGGCTTTTCCTTGTTCCAAGATGATTATCGATTTGTTGTTTTTTTTTAAATCCATTTCTTGAAGCTTCGTTAAAAATTCGATTGCTCACACGTGAAACGCGCACCTACAGTATATACGGTTAGGTTTGATGGTAAAAACAGCTTCAGTGTAACAACGTAATATAATATATACATTCGGATATATTTTTTTCTCCTGAATTTGAATGCGCATCTTGTCCCCGAGATCACACATTAAAATTTATATTCACTTTATTTAGTAATATAAAAAATTCATGGTCGGTTCGATCACCCATGCTTCGCGTATGCAAAAGTGAAAGTTTCGTTAATCCATTGTGTTAAACTTTTCAAACAATTCAGGACCTTTTACTAGGAATAACGATTTATTTTGGAATCTTTGGATTCCTCGTATTTGTGTTGTTAATGGGACCATCCTCTCGTTTCAGGTATTCCTCGCCTCGTTAAAACGATGCTACGTGAAATGAGACAGCCGATTGATTCCCTTTTCCAACGCATTCACTCAACCTTCATCCTTTACCACACGTAGGAATGGTCCAATAGGCAAGTTACATCATTTCATGACGATAACATCACTAGAATGGATGAGGTACGTGTATACAACCTTGAAGGGGATCTTGGTGGGACATATGAAAACCTGATTCCCGAATTATCCTTGTTACCAGGGTCACATTTCGAAGAATTTTTGGGAGTCGGCTGTCACAGGCGTGTGATGGTGTATATGTGTATATTGTGGAAAAGAAGAATCCAATTTTACAAGTAAGAAATTCTAGTCGGATTGAAGTGTTTGGTAACCGCGCTTTTTGTAAATGTATTATTATTTCGAAATTAGATATTTTATTTTGCGCTCGCAACGGGATCGGTTTACTTGTTCTTCGTCACGGCATGGAAGCACATTCCGGGGCCCTATGTCTCCAAGATACATATGTAAGTAAGTGTAGACCGGTCATTAAATTTAAATTTTGGAGTCGATGAATGCCCGATTGGCTCATTGCCTAACAACATTTTTTTATCGTTATTCTTCCCATCCGCAGATATTTTATTCCGATCACCATCATCTTCACGTATGCATCATTTATTGCTGCATGCTACAGTGATCCCGGAAGAATCACCGAGAAAAAAGTGACCAAAGCTTGTAAAATGTTTGAATATGACTTTCTGTTATTTGAGCCGAGAGAATGCAGAACTTGTCTATTCCTAAAGTATGGTCTCATCGTTGATTCCAATTTTCCGGCAATCCTCTTTGCTAACTCAAAAAATGTGTGCGCGATGTTTTCAGGCCTGCTCGATCAAAACATTGTTCGATGTGTAACATGTGCGTAGCAAAATTCGATCACCACTGTGAGTTATCATTTTCTCGGAATCGCAATCATCGATCGCCGCGACCCTGACATTTTTTTCATCTCCATTCCTTGACACAGGTGCATGGATCAATAACTGCGTCGGTCTAAAAAATTTTCGTTATTTTCTCCTCTTTCTATATGCAACCATGCAAACATGCTTTTACGGAACATACTTGATATACTATATATTTTGCGGAATATCCAAGCAAAAGAATTTGCGTTCATTGTGGTTTAACGATGCACACACGGGAAAACGATTGAGGGTTTCCAATTATCAGATAGCCTTGGTAAGTTTTTATCCGGAAAACCTTTCCCACCTTCATCTCCGCTAACAAAAGCATCCGGTTCTTTTCTCACAAAAAAAAAAAAAAAGTTGTTGATTCATCAAGAAAGAGTACTTGGCGCGTTAGGAATATTTACCGCCCTCGTAGGAGTGGTGGTCTTGATCTTCATGTGCTATCAATTCTACCTAATCCTTTCTGGCAAAACTTCCAACGAGTCATTTAAATGGGAAGACCTCGAGGAAATCATCATGGACGGAGAGTTGTGGGTATACGACGACGATCGTAAATTTGACAAACAACCGAAGAACAAAAAGAAGTCAAGGAACAACAATGGCAAGGAGGTTACGAAAGCAAGGACAACAGCTGTTTATTGGATCCGACCAAAGGATGATGCTAGGCAGCGAGGAGACGGCAAGAAAAACAAGGAAGAGAATGGCGCGGTGAATGATGGTGGGAATAGTACTGGTGGTAGTAATGAGACCACAAAAGGTGACAAGAAACCGCAGATCGGGAGGCAAGTGAAATCAATATCGGAAGTGAAAAACATTTATAATAAGGGAATCCTGAGTAATCTTCGTGAAGTGTTATTTCCACCTTCACTATAGAATAATCATAAAAGATTAACCATTTTTCATGTACTCGCGTTTAAGGTAATTAATTCATTGGCGTCCTTCGAATCATGCCTGATTCTTTGTACATTAATACATTCCAGGATAGTTTTCCAATAATAAAATTCTATTCGAACAACTATCTTCTTGCCGCTGCATGCAATAGTACCGTGTGTGTGCGTCAAGCAATGAACATTTCCTATTGTTACGGTGTTACAGATACTTTAATTAGATATACAGTATCAACGTCAAATCAAAATCCGTTTCGGGATTTCGGTTGCCCATATAATCATAAGATCGACCTAACCCTCCATCTTGCCGCACGTGCATATGTCGCAGAGGAAACCTAAATGGGGTTATCCCACTCTCTGCGCGGTCCACCTGTCTTCAAGCGAATTCAGATCAATGATTTGAGGTCACGTCATAAACAGATATTCGCAAATATAACTCCATCTTCTTCCAACAATGATCCGTGTTCAAAGTTGGACGACCAAGATTCCAAAAAAACAAAAGATGCCCTCTCCAAACCTTCGCCGGCATCTATCAACATCATAATAAAAAATTCATTTGTCAAGGAGACGGATGTGCCGTGGACCGGCGAAGAAGCGATAGAATCAACAGTCTTACGGATGATAGTTGACAAGTATCCTCCTTTAAAGATCAAACGAGAATCTGTCAAAGAATACATTGATGCGCACAGTCGTGGTTCTGCGATTAATAGTAGTAGGCCACCATTTGGTGGATCACCTTTGGGATTGCCGCAACCGTCATCCTTGGAATCCGGCAGTCCCGCACCTGTGACTCCCGAAAATTTGATTAAGCCTAATAATAACAATGTCAATTCTTCCTCACGGCCCAATTCTCGCAAAGAAAGATACGAGAAAATACGGGAGAAAAAACAGTCCCGTATTATGAATGCAAGAGATGCGGCGACTGATTATTCCATTGGTATGAGGCACCCGAAAGCTGGGTCGACCAAGAATGCAAAGAGTACAGAGGGTGATGGGAACCACGAACACCAAAATGAAATTTTACCAAGAAGCATTGCGGCTTGGAACTCAATTGTGGAGAGACGCATTCAAGATGCGATTTCGGCTGGTGAATTTAGGAATCTTCCATATCATGGAAAACCTTTACCACCCGATCCTAATGAAAATGTTAGTATGACCAACTCAAAGGAAGAATAATGAATTTCTTTTGAATTATCAAACTTTTTTATAAACTTTTTTATAAACTTTTTTCTCCTCAATAATCATCTTAAACTTTTAGAATCCTTATCTTGATCGCACAGAGTTTCTAATGTAAGACTTCCTTTTTCATTTATTCACTTTTCTTTCATTGATCGAAAAGTTTTTACCATTTAAATTTTTCTTAGGAATCGCCTCGTTCAAAGACAAGGTGCTGCACCAGCATGGATAGAATACCAGAGGGAGGTCGACAGGGAAGTTGCAGCTTTTCGAAATCGTATTATTGAGAATTGGCTACGCTATAGCTTTTTAAATGATCTCCCGCCTGAAAAACCCGATCCCAAGTGGGAAAACAAACAAACTTCCTACTGCGAGAAAGCAATCGATAGATTAAACAGCAGATTAAGATCTTACAATACTATCGCACCGTATGCAGTTCGCAAATGTTACTTAAACCTGGAGAGCGAATTTCGTAGAATGTACCAGAATGCCAAGGACGAAAAAAGAAGTATGAAGCATGATTTTATGGAAAGTGATGTTTGTGATAAAGGAAAAAAGACAGAAGAAGTCAATAATGATGATAACCTGTGGATAGGATTTGCTAAAGGGGTTAAATGGTTGATTGGACACTAAAAACAAAAAAAAACACTGGATTTATTTTATTATCTTTTATATGATGTGCATTTTTGCTGCTAGCTTCAATGGCAATCAAGGATGATAATAGAATGTTATAAAAATATTGCATATTTGTTCAAATAATATTAATGTTAATAATATTCTTTACTTGAGCATAAGAATTTTGATGAATCTTAATAATTCAATTTACTGTCAATAATTAATCAAGCTTAAAATTGTAAACAATCTAATCTAAACAAATTATATATTTATATTTAATTTACTGTCAATAATTAATCAAGCTTAAAATTGTAAACAATTTAATCTAAACAAATTATATTTTTATATTTAATTTACTGTCAATAATTAATCAAGCTTAAAATTGTAAACAATCTAATCTAAACAAATTATATATTTACATTTAATTTACTGTCAATAATTAATCAAGCTTAAAATTGTAAACAATCTAATTTAAACAAATTATATATTTATATTTAATTTACTGTCAATAATTAATCAAGCTTGAAATTGTAAACAATCTAATTTAAACAAATTATATATTTATAGTATTGTTATTTAATTAGTGATATATTATACTGTATATAAGTAATATAAATAAATATTTTGGATTGAATTTATTAAATTAAAAACTAATTGATAAAATATTTTGTAATAATCAATTTTA